GCAGCTAATTGTTTTCCCTCCAGAACATTAGCATTTTTCTCCATTTCATTTCCATAAGTACTGTGTACTTATTTCTTCCCAATTCAGGTCCTTGGATACAACAGATCAGTCTCTCAGACTTCAATGAAAAGGATGATTCGTACCTTCAGCACAAGTCAAACAACATCTAATGATGCTTTTTTTTTTTTTCCCCTGAAAGTATAGGTGGAGAATGCAGAAATTTAAGGGAAAGATTCCACCACTGATACCACCAAGAAGAAAGCTGAAGCATGCAAACCACTAAGTACTTATTGTAAAGATATATCTCTGTTGAATGAAAAGAGCATCCTTTCAAGAGCCTAAATAAACTAAAAAAAAGACAAAAATGATTTGCAGTTTCCCAAAGAACACATCTATTTCAATATTCATTTGATTTCAATATTACTTTATTCTTTATTATTATTATTATTCAATATTTATTACTTTCAAAAGTTTCAGTCACAATAGGTCTTGCATCTTGCCAGTGAAAAAGATATTGAACAAGGATGTCAGCTGATAATTGATGTTAATGCCAACCATCCCCAGACTTGCACAGTTGCTTAAGTTTACAGCTAGGACTTCCCTCATTTTCAGCTCTTTTTAAGACTTTGACAAAGTACTGAAATCCTGTGAGACCATTTTAGAGCACTTTACAGTGACATATGACACTTCATGCTTTCAAACAGGACCAGATCCACCTTCGATGATGTCTTTTGATAGAAAGCAGTTGTGTCACAAATTGTTGCTTTTTCCTTGCTGAGTACTAGATCTTGGTTCCACATTTTGTTTTATTACATGCAAGATTACAAGCGTGCTCATATTTCAATTCAGACTAAAAACAGACTAAAACAAAAAACAAAAACCATCCTCACCCATATAAAAAAAAGCACCAGTCATCCTTTGAAATCAATTTCCTGCATTCAGATCACTCTAGTTTGACACCTATTTTTTTTTTTCTCATTTTTTCATTTCTGAACAGGATGTAGAAACTCAGATACATTCCATTAAGTAGATTTCTGTAGTAGCCTGCATCACCAATTAATGCCATCCCACTCACTTTTAGTGGAAGAAGTACTTGTTCTCTTCTTCACCGAAAAGCCCTTTCCAAGTAGCAGAAGAATCCAAGAACAAAACCAGTTTTGAGCAACAGTGTCATTCTGCAACTTTCGGAACATCAGGATCGAAAGGTAATATAGAACAGACAGCACTGAGAGCAGTGACATGAAACTTTTCACCCCCTGTTCTTTGGGTTTTTCCTCCATTTTCAGTGTTAGAGGCATAAAAAGGAGATAAGTCACTCCAGTAACTTTAGAGACAACTTGTGATACACACACCTATGGAACTTGTTCAATTAGCATCTGCCTTCCTATTGCCCTCAGTTCCTCTGAAACAGAAATCACATGCACAACTTTCCTTGTCAATGCCTCAGACCAGATTATTGCTCCTTATGGGCTTTTAAGGTGAGATGCATAAATAATAGTTCACTGATACTGCCTAATTACTCCCTTTGTTGTCAATCACATTCCGGAGACATTTGCATTTTATCTTCACCATAGTAAACATATGCAACTGAGTGGCTTAGTTTTGTGTCTGTTCAAAATTAAGAGAACAGAATTTTGAGATGTTCTGCTTGATATTCTCAAAACCTGCTCTTGGCACTGCCGTTCAGTTCAAAACAAAATATTTAAAGAGCATACACAGAGTATAAAATCTTGCCCTCTAAAGTTATGTCCAAGGACTTTTCTTTCTTTCTTTTTTTAAGACATCTTAATTCTAATTTAATGCCTAATATTAAATTAATTGATTATTCCCTTGCATATAATATTAATTATTTTATATCAAAGTTTAATACATATTCTGGAATTTACGTTTTGAAACACGTCACTTGTAATTTATTAAATAATGCCTTTCCTTTAAAGAGAGGTGACCTCCTGAAAGGAAAGATGTGTCACAAGTCATAGTCAATTACATTTTAGTGTAACAGAAACACAGTCTACAAACAGTGATAAGCCAGCAACAGAAAAACTGGAGTAGAAAAGCTTCATAACCAGTCCCAAATGTCTAAGTTCCACACACTTGAAGCAGGAACTCACTCTCATGCCTTATTATCTTTCTTGGAGTTAGTCTTGCAAGCAGAGTTAGAGGCCTAAAATCCCAAACGTTTAATCAAAAAGCCACCTCAGGTTTGGAATAAATTTCACTGTGGTATACAGCTGTGAGGGAAGGAAAAAAATCTGAACTGCCACTCTTCAGACCTACTGTCGTCAGAAGGAACAGAGGGTTCTGAACACCTCGTAAGCCTGAGCCCTGCAGTTTAATATAATTACAATAGTAGCTTTACTCAGAAAACACACACAAAAAACCAACAACAATAACTGAATGTCTTCCTCATGTTTCCCTAGTGCATAAGTTCCCTGTTGCATGTTCTCTCCATTGCTTTGTCTAGGCCTCTAAAGCCATAGAAAGGCTGTTGCACCATTTCTCGGGGCATTTGTTCCCAAGTTTCAATGGGAAAGCAAATAAAAGGCAGAGAATTGGGGACTCAAACAGCAAAGGGCAATTCTTCCTCTTGTGAAACATCACAGCTTGAAATTATAATCAAATTGTCACACAAAAAGAAAAAAAAGCAAACCTATAAATCACAGTACATGCAAAAATGCTTGATATTCCTAATGAACTTCTGATATCCCAATGAATTCATGAGGCAGTTTTAAGTCACTAAGACACTATGACACTTTGCCCACAGAACCAAGGAGGCTGTATGAACAATGTGGGAAAGAAGGATCAAGCATTAAGCCCGTCAACTTACAGGTGCAAGCTTGGTGCCTTCAGCTTTGTCAGCATCTCCTGCTAAACACACTGGGGTCTTGTCTTCACTGCCACAGCCTTGCTACTTTCTTGCAACCCTGGCTAACACCTGAGTGACTTCTGATTCTAGAAGTAAAAGAATGTAACATTCTCAACCTGCTGGAACTAGCTAACATACCAGATGCTCAAATCATTCTTTTGCACCAAGAGATTCTTCTATTTGTCCTGGCAACAACGTGAGACTACAAAACCATCTGCTTTTCTTTCATGAGCATAAGTCTTCCCATAAGTCATCAAATCTGCTATTTCCCCAACAGATCCTAACATCTGGCATTTCCGGGCCTGATCAAATAGTGCAAACGGTCATTTACTGAACCCTGAAACAGAAAGACTAGCAGCGTTTATGCAATGTAGTGCCAATGGTCATTATTACTTAAAGAGCCTTTCATTTGTTCCGAGCACTGTTGGCATGCAGCGCGACCGTGCTGTGCAACATGCTGGAGGGCAGCAGCTAACTGCGCTGCTGGGGAAAAAGGAGAATGTAGTGGCCCAGTACAAAACTCCAGCTCATCCAGAGAACGCTATATGCTCACGAGTGCTTACACAGAGCAGACAGACCTTGTCTGCTTTGGTGTTTCAAAGGGCTCGTCAGAAAGCTCGCAAGTAGCAGCAGCGTCTTCCCTACAACACACTTTAAAAGTCTTTAAACGTAAGCTGCCCTTGAGAGCTCAACATTGTGCTTTGCTTTCTCATTCATCCTTCCCGCTTTTATCAAGCAAGGATGACTAATGCGCTACTGTAATGCACTTTTCACAAGGGAAAAAAAAAAAAACTGGCCAACTGAGGCTTCTTCCACCTCAGTGCCATGGGTGTTTAACATCAAAAAAGAGCCCTCCGCCGGGCAATGGGCGAGTCATTACACCGCACTTTAAAGCAACAGGCATCATACATAAACCATGCTCTCATGCAAATTTGACCTACATAATGTTGAAACCTTCTAACGATTTCACAAGTAATTCCAGCAGTAAAACTGGTGTTGCTTTAGTACCACGGGAAGTACCGCACTGGCCTCAAAGAGCTTCTCGTGGCATGTTTCAGCGCTCTTGCTGCCCTTCCAGTTTCCTGCAGTTCGGCCAGCACATCTAAATCAGACTTCAGCCTCCTGGGAAGTAATGCAGCAATGCTTCAAGTCACCAAAATTATAACAAAAAAAAAAAAAAATCTAGACTAGAAATATGACTTCAAACATTTGACTTCAAACATTTGACTTAAGATTGTTTGGGATTTTACTCCTTAAAGCCTACAGAACTGTTGAAATATTCATCTTAGGCCCTAAATACATTCAATGGTTTTGAAAGAGGCAAAACCAAATGACACCTCCAGAATACAAGTAGTAATAAGAGATTGGTGTGTTGCTATGAGAACATTTCAAATGATTCCTTGAAAACTGGACTCGCAAGCACAATTATAAAACGCTGATGATGGCCAGAGTATTTTAGATATGTTCTTTTCCAACAATTTTCAGTGAATTTAAATGCTTTTTTGAATGATGCCTTGATTTCTTTAGAACAAAACCTGCCAATTTTACTTTGATAGAAAATTTATGAGGCCTTGCTGATATTAGCACTTAGTTAATTTAATCCATTTTCACTTTTTCTTTTAATTTTTTGAGTCATTTTCAGCCTAGAACTACAAAATATAAGGACATGAAAAGATATATTCTTAAGATGAGCATCTATCCCAAATCCATCCAGTCTTTTCTGCCAAGCATGTAGGTCAATAACATTTGTTGTAGCACAAGTCTTTAGTTCACATTTTACAGTTAAAGAACTATTTCATGCTTCTACCAAATGAATCCTTGTTTCCCCATTTCTTTTGCAGAAGGCCTACTGTTTCAAATTTTGCTCTAAAAATGAGCACATCTATGCAGAAAAGGACTCTACTTTTGACTGAAATTCATATGAGCCTCAGGTCACCTGCACAACAAGCTTATTAAAAGATCATTTTTGAATAGCAGTAATAGATATTAATGCACTGTCTGGCCACAGCAAATACAATCACTTTATTCATTTCTTCATGGAAAGCTTACATTTATTCATGCCTCATTAACCTAAAAATCCTTCTAGAATAGTTACTTTTTAAAGCACCAAGACAGTGAGTTAAAGTTTTCTTACCCTAATCAAAGCGATGAAATGCTTCTCTGAATCATTTCATTTTGCAGTTTATGCCTCCACCCTATAAGGATGCCTTATGAACATTCTTCCTTATAAGAAGAAAAAAAAAATGGAATAAAAATTTTTAATTGGATTGACTAGTCTCTTGGACACAAACCAGCCTTATCTGAAACTCAGAAATGCTACTACTATGTTACAAGATAAATGATTTAGAAGTGAAAAATCTTCAAAACATTTGGCAACTTGACATATTGCTCAGGAAACTACCCAGAAAATTGCCCTTGAAGTATCTTCTAAACTACAACAAAAGCTTAGACTCAATCCCAAGCACAATCATTTCATCCATACTAGGGACTTCCATATTCACACTTCTTCTGAAACAACAATTTCTGAAGCATCAAGAAACCAGCCACTCATCTGGTTCTAAATTTGATTGCAGTTCTCTGACATTTAAATAGTCACCTTAGCTAAAAGGATTATAAAGGTTTGAAAAAATTCTTACCATGCTGACTGAACAAACATTCAAATGCTCCCTCTTTTAGCCCACACCAGACTGAAAGTGAATGCCATTGCTGAGAGGGAAACAAAAATAAAACTGAAAAAAAAAAACCCTATACTTTTTTGCTTTATTTCACCATAGAATTTTATTGAAGATAATGAAATTATCCTTCTCATGAATGCTGACATAATTTGCAGTGTAAATAAACCTACTTTCAGAAGGTGAAAATTCACACAGCTGAGAAAAAAAGGAAATCATCCTACTTTTTCTCCTTCATGACTAACCTGCTATGCAGTTTTCCAATGCTCTTACTAACAATAGCAGACAGGAAGAATGCAGTTCAGCCTAGTTTATGTTCAGGAGCACTGATTTCCTATAATTAATCCTTGCATACAGCATCAAGCCAAAGGAGCAGCAGGGGAAACAATGGAAGTCTTCCATGTGCGTAATAATATTGTTTCTGTCCTCTGAAGATTGTGTCGTTAGACAATCTCAATATAAAGACAACTTCAGGAGATAAAGAAAACTAGTGATCTCTGTCTAGAGTAAGACTGAAATTACAGAACATTTGTGCCACATTTATCACCATGGAATGATTTCTCCCAATTTGTTCCTAGAGATAAATTAAGGCCAAAAAAAAAAAAAAAAAAAAAAAAAAAAAAAGTGGATCTGAAAGGTTTGTAGAAAGGAAATTCTCTAGGCTTTTCTTGAGTTGGTCTTGGCACTTGTAAGCATCTCTATCTCCATACAGGCTGCTGACAGAAAAAGAAGAAAGTTTTCATTTTCCCTGCAGATAATCCATATATTGTCTCGGTGCCATACATTTTTATTAGGACTATCATCATAAAACATGCATCTGAGATGAGAAAGAACAAAAGAGAGAGGACAGAACAGAGAAAAGATGTTCTTTGATTAAAATAGTGATTGAAATTAGGGAAATCAGGGTTAATCTCTGTATTTCATACATACCTCCCTGTACAACTGCAGATCCCGTGATCTACCCTTTTTTTCTTTTTAACATAATTGTCTTATATAACGAGCACATGAACTCCTAAACATTAACATAAGATTTTCAGTCAGATTTTGCTTGACACTAGATTTATATGGGGAGTGGGCTCATCGGTAATGCATAAAAGTAATAATAGTTGGCTAGAGAGGAAACATCAAGAAGAACAGAAAAGTATGTTTAACTCAATTGCTTTATGTACAGACATGCATCTAAAATAGTTCTCATGTTTTACACATGCAATCAAAACGTATTTTAGCAAACAAACAACAAAAAAAAAGGCATGCAAACCAACATATCTAACCAGTGTTAAATAATACGTTATGCATATGAACAAGAATATTGCCCCTCTAAAGCAACACATTTGTTCCTTTGCTGTATTTCTCATCCAAAGAAAGAATTCACTTTATGGAACAAGAGCACTAACAAAAACCAATAAATAGACTAGTGAGATGCAAGCCCAATGAAACTGCACAACTCATGCATAGGAGATTTAAGTGGTGATGACACACAGGCTGTACTACACCAAAGAGAATGGTCATAGCATACAATTAATGCATATACACAGTATTTGTTCCTTCTTCATATTCTTGGGCCTTGAACCTAACCACTTTGATGTTTATTACTTTACCGTTTTACTAGTTATAAAATTAACTAATCTGTCCGCAACAGTTAGCATCTGTTATTTTAAGCAATCTTTGTGAGAAGCATGGAACATAAAATTTAAACTGCATGGTTGAAGTATAATGACAATTGCATGTAAATAAGCACAGAGACTCACCCGTGTAACAAAACACAACGTCCTGACCAAAGAATGTCAGGAGGCCATTTTGTCCTTGCTTACAGCACATAACAACTGGAGATTATTGGGATTCCTCCCAGCTTCATAATTATCCAGCATAATGTCTTAGGGGAACGCATTTGAAGAAGAGAGATCTTGATGGAGAGATAGGCACGTGTGAGTTGACTAATGGTAAATGACCAATATACGGTTGATATACTCCAGACTCTATAGCCTTTTGAAGTTGTTTGTAAGAATGAAGGCATCTACTTGTGTGTTTAAAATTGCAATAAACCCCCTAATTTAGAGTTGCTTCTTTCAACATTTCTAAATGCAGGAGGCTAAAAGCTTCAAAGTAACCAGCTTCTCTCACAGAGATCCAAGGTTAAGCAAATAAAGTTCCTGAAGTCTCAGTAGCTACTATCAGCAATTAAAAAAAAAAAAAAAAAAAACCAAACAACAACAAAACAAAAAAACAACAGCCGTATAATGATAGATACAGCCACATAAAAGCAACCAGACTGAAGAAAACTGGGACAGCTTATCAAACTGAAGGGAGTAAAGAAATACCTGTTCAACATCAATTCTGATTCAGAATCTTTATCCACTTCTTTACTTTTGTTTCCTTTTAGCCTAAGAAAGGCACAAATAATTGGTGTGTAACTGGTGTACAACAAGTTCTAGTTATGACATTAGAAGTGATTTAATTTCTGAGGTGTAGAAAACTTAAAAACTTGTTTAAATGATGCAAAAATTAAGACAACTATAGTATTACACTACCATCACCAATAGCACTTTATTTTCTAAGGACATTCTCAAAACCTGCTATAAACACCAATGCATGAGCCAGCGAGGCAGCCAAATGTTATAACTTCTCTTTATAGGTCAATTTGGTGATGAAGAATGAAGAACTAAGACAAGAAAGAAAAAAAAAAAAAACACCTACTCAGGTCTCCTTAATCCCAAAGCCTCAGCTATCCTTCCCCAGTAATGGAGATCTCAAGCTAAGAACAAAAGGAAAAGTTTTGCGATGTACCCATAATAGGCTCTGCTGAGGAAAGCAGCTGAAGCAGAATGGGAAAACTGCCCAGGAGATAGCAGTGTAAACAGAGGTAAGAAGGCTCCTGCCTTATCTGAGGGAGAGGAAGAACTGCACAATATTTCAGAGTCTCAACTCTGCCAACAGGCTCAGGCCGGACAGCTCATCAGATCTGGTCCACTTCTACATGAACATTGCCAAAAATGCTGTAGGAAAGGACACAACGGTTGCACTGCTCATCTGGGTGAGCATAGGCAGTGACTGCCTCGAGTGACCCCAATACTGCCAGGGAAGAAAAAGAGAAAAATAGCACAAAACTTGACTCATCTTTCTTGTGTAGACATACCTCGTGTGCAAAGCAGGGCTTCAGCAAAGTGGGGCTCAAATTTAGGCTTAATCTCAATGGATTTTTGAGACCCATTCCATAGGTATTTTATTCTTTCAAGTTATTATTTAAAGATCATAAAATGGCATCTGTATTTAATTCAGTATTGCAGGTGTTTCCTGTGGGGACTTGCAAGCAGATGACTATACAGTGGGGATTTCTGGATTTTCTAGTTGCCCAGGTAATTGTGAAAAGTGACTGAAACATGAAAATTAAATTACATGATCCAGCTACAAAATGCGTTGTTCTGTAAATTTCTAGAGATTTATCCCTTTCAGGAGCTGGCAGAATTCAGCATTTCAGGATGATGGCATATGCTTTCTTCCCCACTGCTCTAAGAGTTAATCATTAGACAATTACCAGTAATGGTCAAAATACTGAGAACAGAGGGAGCATTTTCCGTCAAAAGTCTGGGAAAATGACAAATGAATGGCAAAGTCCAAACTACATCAGCACAGGGAGATGAAAAACTCTAGTCCATTCCCACTGAGATAGCCTCAAAACATACAAAGCAGTTCCTAATTTGTTTGAGAATGCACTTCAGGTTTCATTTTAATAGTCACTAAGTACATGCAAACAGACATACCATAATTAAGGTGATCAATCTGCAAAAAAGAAAGCACATAAAAAGAACAAGAAGGCACATAAAAAGAACATATACACTTAAAAGAGTTAAGTAATCATAATAATAATTATTAATTGCATTATAATTAATAATTATAAGGTCATAGATGCCTGGCTGTTCTTTCGCAAGCAGCTTAAAATCATTTCCAGGTACTTCTTTTAGTTATGCAACAGAAAGGTATTCCTGAAACAGCTTTTGAGCAGCAAATCCCATTTCAGTTAAAAAAAAAAAAGTATACTTTTTTTCCACAGAATAGCAAACCCCAACTGGAGCATTTAACTATCTCACAGTAAGATGCATTATGACTGAACCTTGACAGACCTGGAGATGAGGAAACATTCTGTAATGAAGATTTTAATTATTTAGGTTTTCGTTATGATTAAATTGGAAGCTAAATTAATGTTGTACATGCATGTAAATAAGTAATGTTCTATGCTAAATAATTATAGGCAAGTATGTATAACGGGTTTTCTGGGTCAAAAAACTTTTTTTTCCCACCAGTTCTATTCTCAGACACTCTCGGAGGCAGGCACTGCAACTGCTAACTTAGAGAAGGGTAAAGTAAGCACCAGGTTTACAAACTTGCCCAAAAGTCACTTGGAGGCAATGGCAGCATGGAGAGCAAAGCCTGACTCCGGCTCTCCAGTCTGTTTTGCTGCCAGTGGGCAAGAACTCACAACAAGGTCTGCTGCAGAGTATCAGAGGTGGTACATTTGTGTCATGCTGACCCAGCAGCATGCAGAGCCACTTGTATGTGCAGGGCA